TTCATCCTCTCAGATTTCCGGTACCTCCCTTGCCTCCGCAGCGACTGAGCTAGGTTGTTGATAGCCATCAAAGTGTTAGGATGGTCCGATCCAAATATTTTCTCAAACCCCCCCAATGCGCGCCGGTTCATCACGTCTGATTCTTGATACCTCCCTTGCTGCTCTAGCACCCTAGCCAGGTTGTGGACAGCCATCAAAGTATTAGGGTGGTCTAATCCGGAAGTGTTCTCCTCGTCCTTTAGTACCTTAAGAAATATCGCCTCCGCCTCCTTGGCCCTTCCTTGGTATGTGTGCACATTTCCTAAGAGCATGGTCCGAGAGTAGTTCCCACACTTCCAGCCCCGCCCTTTATCTGCCTCTCGAAGTGCAATGCATAGGCGGGCTTGAATCTCGGCATTGTTATAGGAACCCATTTCTATATAATGCTCTCCCATTCGGTAGATAAGGTCCTCGGCAATTGTATCCGTTGAATCCCTAGTTAATACTAGTGCATGAGACATGTAAGCGGCGCAAATATTCCGCCGTTTGTACTCATACTCGGGGAACAGCCTTGAGACAGCCCGCAGTCCGGCAGCCCTTCCCTGATTTGCCTGTTCTACCGATAAATACGCCTGAATGGAGAGTTGGACCATACGATGAAGCTCATAAAATGTTGCGCCTTCAAGTTTGACCTCCGTAACCAATGAGAATCTCAATAGTTTCCCAATCGCCTGACGAAATTTAAGTGCATCATCCATGCCTTCCAGTCCAGAATGAGTCAGTAGGTCCTCAGGTATGTTTTGACGATCGAGAGATGAAATTAGCGCGAGAAGTTTTGCCATTAGGGGCATCTGTTCGGTGATTCTGTCAAAAGTGATAAAGTAGGTGCCAAGAATACTTTCGGTCATGTTGGCCTCTCGTTGGATGTCGCAAAATTGCTCCGAAAGTAGCTCTCTCGTTCGTTTATCATTATCCTGGAAAATAGTCCAGTAAATGGAGGGTGATGTCCCGTTCTCGGCCATGAAGGCTGCCGCACCCACGACAGCCAGCGGTAGGTGACCCATCGAGCCTAAGATCGTTGAGACAGCCCTTTTTTCTTCATCTTCCAAACTGTGCCAGCTATCGAATCGTTTTGAAAACAGTTCCAAGGCCTCGGCCGGCTCCATCTTGCCGACATCGATAGTTTTACAGCCCTGTCGAATCGCAACCTGCCGAGATCTGGTGGTGAATATCACAGTCCCTTCACGCCCTTGTGGCACAAGCTTGGCAATGGGGCTAGTGTTTCCAATAAAGTCGGTCTCATTGTCGGCATTGTCGATGACTAGGATCCAGTCACCACTGTCAGGGCCTTCGAGCCATGTCCTTGTATTCCGGAGCAATTCCTCTTCGTCCTTCTCAGCACCCGCCAGAGGAATTCGGACATGCCGTGCAATAGCCTTAAAACCCTCCGTAAATTTCAATATCCCACTTCCTTGCACCCAGAAAACATCACAACGAGCTTCCCGGGAACGCCGGCAAACGTATTCTAGAGCAATCTGGGTTTTTCTAAGTGACATTAGTAAGCCTCATACAAGTACATCGGGACACCAGATACATACCCACAGCCCCCCAACCCATGGAGCGCGACTCGGTTATGAGCCCCACTTTCGCAAGCTTCTTTTATCGAAGCGATAACACTCTCACGACCAGTGAATGCTCTATTCCTGCAATAGGGAACCATCCAATAAGGCCTCTGCGCTTCTCTGGATTCTGATGGCGTGTTAGCTTCTGGGAGGATATCAGCGGAGAAATGCTAATACCTCCGTCCCTAGCCCTCACTACCTGCCCCTCATTTCCCCCCACCGGGTCGGCCATATCGCGGAGCATATGCATACTATAGATAATGTTGCCGTTGCCAGTGACATTGTGATTACCCGTATTCCCACTATAGTTCCCATCGATATCGGATCGTACTTGGCTACTTGTGCTAATAGTATTAGAAGTGTGTTGCGCTGTAGAAGGATAGGGATGCCCACTCATCCATCACCCTGTTACTACTTTCCGCTTGCTGGGAAGCCATATGTGAAGGTTGGATACTGTGCTGACAAGCTGTAGCTCGCCCGCCCGAAGTGGTAATGGTCGCCCCCTTGTCGCTTATCGGGACAGTCGGTGGCTATCCTTTCGCAAACCTAGGAATGGGCTGAAAGCGCTTGCCGTGCGGCTAAACTTGGGATGGAAATGAATGGTTCCCCGGTTATTATACTGTTGTGGGGCAGGATGCTACCGTAACTACCGGTAGCGGTGCTAGAGTTCAGTAAAGGCCAAAGTTGTGGTAGAATGTGGACTACGGTAAGGGAACGGGGCTAGGACTTGGGGACCGGAAAACTAAAGTGGGGATTGGGGTTAGGGGAGGAAATGTGCTTAGAGTGAAGGAGACAGTGTCCCACACACAATACTGTAATCGCATTCAGCCCATGCTAAGCCCGGACAGGTGATTTGTTCAGCCTCGATCGAGGATCTGGACCGCCACTTGCCTTTTTTAGCTGAGTGCACGAATCATTCTCCGGAGCCGCGCGACGCGAAGAGGATTCCCGGGCACGGTACCATACCCTAACGTACTCGAGTACAGTACTCGCACCTAGACTCCCACCTTGCGTTGCTCAGTCGGCCGAGGCTACTGGGAATACAAACACCAACCCAACCGAATACGGCAGCCACTGCAGAGAGATAGAGCTGATTGAACTCGCCCCGGGGAGTCCTTTGCATGCCATCCGCGCCTCCTCCCAACTGAAAACCGACTTGCCTCCACAGTGAGACGCGGGCACGGCATTCAGAATATTTATAGGACAGCTAACAAAGGCTCAAAGTTCAGTGCATAAAACAGTGAACAGAGACCAACGAAAACTCTTTAAAACGTCCACCATCTTATCGTACCTAAGCGAACCCTCATCATACCGGGAACCCACGCGTGGCTCACAAGTGCGATACCCCAACAAAAGCAACTTCCATCATCCAAATAGCTGCTCAGCACCGCTTCAAATCCAGTCCAATCCGCGAATTCGGGGGTTGTGTTCCTTAAGAATCTCGGGTTTTAAACTGAGTTAAAGCTTCTGCTCCAGTTCCCATGCTCATCTAGAATCCACCAATACCTGATACACATCTGGGTCTCTACGAGTATCTTCAAGTTGTTCGGTTCCCCCAGCCTACCCTGCACAATGCCCAATTTTGGGCCCGTTCCGGTACGAAGAACCGGCATCCGTTCAATGCTATGGATAGTAGTACCCGGATACCCCGGTTATTCTGTGAGCCGGGGTTTGAAGGGACGGGAACGAAGTTTACTGGCCATATGCGCATGCAGGGGTATATCCGTGAACGCTTTATAGATGATAATTGGTAAATTTCAGTGTTCCCATCGACCTACCGAGGCCGATCACCCCGTTATTGAGCTTGTTGCTAAATATCACACCGGTATCTACCGATTTTATGCTAGCATTGAGTGTGCGCATCTACCACACCCAGATACTTCCGACACCTTGGAAAATCTGTCGGCTCAGGCACTGCCACATGCAGCCTGCCGCAAGCAAAAACCAACGCTCTATAATGGATTAGTCCCAATAGCCCGTTACCCCCTAATCCCGCTAACGAGAGATCGCATTCTAAGAGCAAGGTATAAGTATACCGTCATCTCGAGGTCGGCCGTGCAAGCTTCCTTTCCACTACTTTCCTGACCCCGCTTTTCGCCTTCCTAATCGGGAAGGTGGTTAGGGGCCAGAACACCAAACACCCCTCACGATCTTTCCCTCAACTAACTTTCTTGGGGCTTCATATGGCTTGGGTACTCAACTTTCATCGTTTGGGTAACGCAAAACACGTCCTTTTGTGCTGGGGCTTTGTCTTCTGGCCAGACTGGACTCTAAACTTCTCTTTCCTCCCTCCTGGGTTGGCATCTTGCCTCTACACCCTGTGAGGTTTCGAACTTCCCACCTGCTTGGTCCTTTCCCCCCAAGTAGGGACGCAAACTATGGGTCGACACTATGGCTGCGGGGTCGGTATTGCACTGTCTCAGGTCTCAATTGGGTCGGTTGACTCGGATGCACTCAAAGGGGGGGCTGGCACGCCCTGGCCAAACGCTCCCCGATGCTACGATTACACCAAAAGGTTCTCCCATGTTAACCTTCCTGCTTTTCAATGGCAGGGCCAGGAGAAAACTGTGGGATGATGTCACATCAAGGAGGTTTCTTTTGTTTGGGTTTCCTTTGTATTTCCTTTCTCAAGAGAATACGGTGTGGGTTTTCTTGTTGCTTCCTGCTGGTGCTTTGGGAGTTATGGCTCTGCGGTTATGGGACAGGGCTGTGGTTTTCTTAGTGCAGGATGTGCGGTTGGTCCCATACCAGAGGGACTTGGGGCGGCTTGTTTTTCCCTAGGCCAGCGGAGGAGGTTTTTGACCGGCATGCCTGAGGGCCAAAATGGGGGTGTGGGGCGGTTATTACAGAGGTGCCCTGGTGGAAGGATCCATGTTTTAGCTGGACTGCGCCTTTAAAGCGGAGGTTTGCACCTAAATAAGCAAATAAATTCTAGGATTTAACAAAATCGAGGTCGGCCGTGCCCCACACGTTCCACCCCGGTATCGCTGAGTCATCATATAGCTTATGAGCACGCCAAATACCCTTCTGTAGGTAAATTAGATCATCGGCGGAGCCGGGATGGTAATGGAAATTATGTGGATTATCGTTAGAAGAATGAGGCTGTGTCGTGGCTAATCTGGCCCTAGCGCAGGCCAGGGTTCTCCAGTTCCATGGAACTCATCAATGCTACTTCCATGCGCAAACACAAGGATACCCGTGATAATTCGTTTAGCGATGTCACAACTACCATACATGTGGGTAAATTCCACCGTGAAATCCATTAGAGCTACGATGCCATTGTAGGCAGATTTCAAAGGACCCAATGCATATAATCACTGCTCCAGCAGTAGAGCAGGAGGATAACGCATCATTGTCTCAATCCCTCACACAAAGGCCAGAAATGAATACAATGATGAAGACAGCTTTTCGCATCAGCCGGAGACAGTGCAATACCAGCGACACAGTGGGGATCAAGCATAGCATGCCAGAGGCAAGACCCCGAGGTAAACAAAAATAGGAGTAACCAAAGAACAGGCTCCGGAAAGCCGTTTCAGAGATTAAACTGAAAAGAACAGATACTACACTTGATCTAAGCCTGTTTAATAGTTAGCATTGCTCGAGTGGGACAGTGGGGGAAGCTGTAGGGAACTCACCAAAAGGCAAAGAGAGCTGAGGAAAAAAGCGGAGAAGGAGGTGAGAGTGGTGGGTTTATATGCAAAACTTGCGGGAATGCCAAGGCTTTTGGTTTTAGCCGCTGGTGGGGGTTTGGGTATGGGGGAGGGCAAAACTGTAGAATAGAAAACGCTAGGAATAATGCCAATGCCACTCGGCAGCAATTGATTCCTTTGGACCACCCCTCCGGGGTCTTTATTTGCTAAAGTGTATCTCCTATGTGACTTGGAACTTTGCTTGAGGCATGCGAGATAGGTGCCCCAGCACAAGCATTGAGTCACTTACCTAGAGACAGAGGAAATATGTTTGGCAGGAGCGGGTGTCTATAAAAATTACATGCGTTAGGAACAGGCACCACTAGGGCATTGAAGCCTATAGACAAAGGTGATACTAGCAAGTTACGATTTACTAGAGCCAAACATGTCCGTCCCTCATGGGGGGATTCTAGATGAACCTTGCCCACCCTGATGGTATTGAGATTCGATACCAGGTGACTCTAAATAGAGTGCAGTTCCAGGATTGTCTGTACTGTACAAGGTCGCCGTGCCCAGCTTTATCCTCCCTTGTCTTCTGAAGTTTTCCTTAGCTATTTTTTAGGTCAGCTACATCCTCCCTGCTATTTCTAGGCCTCCCATGGATAGTTGATGGGTGGTTAGATCACGTGTAGTGCTTCCTCTTTCGTTTTAGGCTCCGGAATGGGTCTTTAAAGTTTTTTTCGATTATCCCTATATTTTCTTACCCCAGTAGATTTTCTCCCTTTACTTCTAGAGTGCTCTGCCTGACCTCAGGGTGCCGCTGGAACTGCCCCGTCTCCTGCTAATGCTATGGCTCACAGCTGATCACCCGTCCACTCTACCAGTGTCCAGGGCTTGTAATTAATATGCCCGGCTGCCAAATTGGTCAGGCCACAAAATCACTTGTAAGCTATGATACCCAGGTCAGTGGCAGCCTCTCGTCAGATTCCTTCCCCAGTTGCAAAAGGCAAAGGTATAAATATTGAATACGTTATTGGGATTACAGAGGAGATTATCAATAAGATGGATTTGAACATGGGGTAGAGCCGAGTGGTGCTAGATTTCTGGCTTTCTCCAGGGCTCAACTTTCCCAAAATTTGTAGGTGCCACCGTCCTGGGGCCATTACCTACGGAGAAGAGTCACAGGCCTAAGAATCATCCGTTCGATATTTCCAATAAGGTGCTGTATCTAATTGTATTCCTCCGCACAGCTAGGACGAATATATTTGCTGTGGTCCAGTGTTGAATGTATGAGAACGGTTACGTATACGCGTTGAGAACATTCACAGATATACGCGAGTGTTTACCTACCCCTAGATATCATACCTAGCCCACAGGTCTGCGTCTCATGTTTGCTTTCTTTTCTTTTGTCTCTTTTCTTTCTCTCTGAGCAATTCTCACGAAAATCAAACCTCATACTTTCTTGGCTCGTCATCAAT